TATCGAAACATTGAGTTTTAGACTTCGGCTCTTAGAAAAGCGCAATTTGTCTCAGTGTTTGATGTCTAACTTTCCATTGTTTCATTGTTAATTATCAAGTTCAGGCGTTAATGGCCACTTTTACTGATGCTTTATCGACTTTGGTCTCCCTGGTATCTACAAATTGTCATGGACGTTACTGTTACTTTCATCACATGCTGTTACCAAAGCATCTGATGAAAGAGTGGAGTCTGGCACTCATATGATTGACTTTGTACTGCACATTATTTTCCTAGAATGTAAGTCTGATATACGATTATCAATTGATGGTTGCTTTATCAAGGTTTTCCGCGACGAGGATTCTGGGAGTGGGAGTCAACACAGCCGGCAGGTAGCTGAAGGCATCTTAGGATTCTTTCCTGGTTTTGAAGCGTTTTCCCTGCCTCTACCTACGGCTGATGAAGAGATAATGAGAACCATCAGCGTGAATAAGGATCAGCTACAGACAAAATTTTTGCGCCAGTTAGAGGACTTTAAACGCTTGGTAAAGTCCATACTGGTTCCAAAACACAGCTACACAGAAGGAGAGCTTGTAACTGGTGAAGGTCTGTTGTGCTTTTTTGTGTTTTTCCTTTGTGTCTTCGTCCTTTCGTTTCTTTACTAAACACAATTGCTTACCAATGATGACTTGTCTCCAGTGAAAAACAGTGCTTGAAATAATTTGAGGTCAATTTGAATTCATTAATGAGAAAAGGAAAAATACTGTAATAAGTTTGCAAAATGAAATAAGCATCAAAGTACTTATTAACAAAATGAGGTTTTTCTTGTTGTTGTTGTAGGTCTTGCCGCTTTGGTGACCCAGTATGTTGATGCAATCAACACCCCTGGTTTTGTTCCAAACGTACAAGGAGCGTGGGACCTGTTTGTAGAAACCAAATGTTTTGAAACTAAAAAAACCTGCGAGAGAAAATATTGTGAGGTTTTGACCTTACTACTGTCTGAAATACTGCCTTGTGATAACGATGAAATACGGGCGTATCACAACTCTGCACTGGAGGAAACTGAGGAGCTTTTCTTGGTGGAAATGATCGGCATTTCAACAAACACAGTAGAGAAGCAACTAAGGCAACTTAAGGTGACGTTCCTCGCCTGTAGCTATAACTGAGATACAGGCTTAAGACGTATGTGTAATTGGCACGTGTGGCTCAGTTATTCGGGTCAATAATACTTGTGGGGGGAGGGGAGGGAGATCAATAAACTGGTCTCTTCTAAGGTTCATAAAGCAGTTTCCTCGCGAAGAAAAAAATTTAATTCAAGGGTATAAGTCTGGTACTAGATAACAGTTAGGAATTTACACAAAGGTCAAAGTTTGCCGTAGGGACTTGACGTAATGTATGTTGACTTTGCCGAGCTATCTTGCTATGCCAGTAGTGAAGCATTCCAAGAGTCAGTCTTTTTCAGAAACAGAACGATTTCCTTGGTATTATATTGTATGTTGCCTTGCTTTAGTAGTGTCCATTCTTTACCTCTAAACTGACTTGTTAAATGGTTTTGTTTTGTTTTGATTTGTTTTGCTTTTTCAGTTGTCCTTAAACCGACAGTTGGACGAGTGGCAGACTAAGAATTCAAAATTAACGAAAGAAGGCTGCGAAAATCTTCTGTTAGAACTAAAGAAAAAGCACTTAGACCCAATCATTGAGCAACTGGAAGGAAGAGATGGTTCAAAATTAGCATTTGATGACATCCTAAGAGTTTACCGGCACATCAAAGATGACTACGATGCAAAAGCAAAGGGCGCCAAAGATGTCATTGCTGCTGCGTTCGCTGACTTTCACCCTGTAAGAAAACTTTAGTTATTTCCGATTATTCGGTTATTGATGCAGATTTCTGATTATTGATAAAAGCAGTTTCTTAAAAGGAAAGAGCCAAAAGAAGAGCAAAGTTAAGAGTTACTGTCCAGTTTGGATAGTTAAACATATTTTGTTCCTTCGAGCGACTATTATTTTTTGTTAAATTCTTGTTAGTGATAAGCTACCAAATTCTGCCTCACCCTAAGGCCACCTAAAAAAAAATTGGGCCTGACAAAATTTATAATCAGGAAGTTAAAATTATCAAAATTATTTTAATTCTCTTTCAAGGTGTTTTGGACCTGTTCTGTCTGCTAAATCGCTTTTCGAGATCGAAGCGGCTTATCGTGTCCGGCTGGGAATCGAACGTTATAGAGGATGTATACATCTTGTTCAGTATTCTCTTAATAATTTATTTATCCCCCTACAGAAAATAGCAGCGGAAACTAAGCAATACATCGGTATCCTAAGGCAACTTAAGGATTTTGACGAACATGCAGCGAGAGACAAGGCAGCCGAAGCTTACAGAGAGAGGGAAAGGAGACGACTTGAGGTCAGTGAGTGTGATGATAATATTACAAAAAAGTATGGTGAGATTAGCGGATCGGAGTTAAAAAGAAAGATCAGAATACTCTGATTGACTTGAACGCAACAGAAAGGCATGATGGTTATTAATTGAGACTCGGCTGTGGGTGATGTGTTACCCTATAAAACTAATCCTATGCTCACTGTGTACATAAACAATACTTTGTCATAGGTAGAGATTACTGTAAATTGTTTAAAAGCGGAGGTAACATGTGATAGTACAGTCTAATCGGAAGTCATCATTAGAGTCAAGCGAATCGTTGTTGTCAGTGAAATCAAAATGTTCTAAGTCCAGTTCGTGTAAAATGAATTACTGCTGCCAATCGATCTTTCAGTAAATTTAAAGTATTCTGGTTGCCCTTGCTGTGATAGGGTTTTACGATAAGAGACGTTTAACTCTGTGTATATATACTACTCTCACTACATACATAATTTCCCGGCACGCGGGAATAGCTACGTATTCAAATTCCGACGAGATTGACCTGCGGTCTTTCCCTTAAATATCCCGTTGTCATTCACTTCTTGGTCAGTTTGAAGGAGTTCGCTACAATTACGGTCAGGTTTCGCCCCTTCAACCTCCCCTGTTGGTGTTCAGCGTCGTTCCCCACAATTTATAAGCCTCTTGCCCTTGCTGTCGTGGGTATCCTCCCATAATTTACATGTAGCTTTCTGCGCTCGGGCTCTTATATTTAGTGAGGATATTTTACTATCACTTTTTTTTCTTTCTTTCTTTTTTTTTTTTTTCAGGAAGAGCGGATGCGCTTAGAGCAAGAAAATCAAGAACAAGAGAAGGAGGTAAACCGTCTTTTTAGCGTTGCTAGAATATATCAGTATTATTCGCTGTTTATTATGATAAAGAAGTTTTGTAGAAGGAGATAACTGTAACAACCTTGATTAATTTTATTGCAAATTGAGCAAGAACTGAGTTATAAGTAGTGCGGCTTCACAATTTTCTCTTTCGTTTTTGGATAGTATTGAAATGCATTCAGTTTTTCTCCAAGAATAAAGTCCTTGATCAACAATTCATAGATGAGGACTGGTAAACAGTGAATAACCAAGCCTGTGAAGTCTTTACTTTTTGCGTTAGTACACATAGCATTATGATCGTCTTTTTTCTGTTTGCTAAGATGAAAATGCTGATTACCAGATTAGAAGAGGAAAGAGCTGGAATGCTAGAGAAAATGGGAAATGAAATGGAACAAGAGAAAGAACAATTGCAGAATATGAGGGAAGCAGGCTTAGGGGAAGCCAAACTTAAACGAGAGGCTTTCATTGAAGAAAACCATGCCCTAGAAGAACGGTTACTGGAAATGCAAGAGAAAAACGAGGAGCATATGAAAATGATGAAGAGGTTGTCAGAAATGATCGCCAAACATCAAAGAGAGAAAATAGAGCTTCGTGAACAACTGAAAGAACTTCCTCAGGAAGAGATCGAAGAGTCCTTGAAGGAGCTGATAAGAAAGCAATCAGAAGAGGAAAATGAACTCCTGAAGAAGATGGATATTTGTGCGGACGACAACCAAGGGGAAGTTCCTCAGATGATGGCCTCGAGGGCTCAAATGGTCGCCGATATAAAGAAGAGGATGGAAGAGAACGAAGAGGAACAAGAATCTCTCGTAAGGATAGTTCTTCGTGGTATTGCAAAAGTTGGTCCAACGGCTGGTAAATTAATAGCCTTGTATCCTCCAGCGGCGCCTTATGCTGAAAAAGTCGCCGACGGCATTGCGGGTGTTGCTGGAGCTTTGTCGGAGGTTGAATGTGTTATCATGTGAGAAGAGCAATGCAGTTCTTTCCGGACATGAACCGAATGAATGTTTTCAGTTTTTAATACACATTGTTTTAAATAACCGTACTAATCACCACTTTAGATAAGGCATAGCTGATATGGAGAGGATCCTTACACCTTTTCCTGTCTTTTCTAACAGAGGGCTTTCATCTGTAAAGGAGGAACCCTCTTCTGTTGCAAGTTACCTTTGTGAAGCAATGTTTAATCAGATTCAGTTGTATAACAGCGGAACGTAATTGACACAATTTTTTAATTGCAGGACACTTTGCAACGGCAACTAAACTCGAGTAAGTGAAATCACAACAAAGATTGCATTTTGATTTTTTTATCGACTAACTCACATTTCTTGCACCTTAACCATTCCCGAAAGATTTGAGAAAAAAAGAAAAAGAAATACCCTTCTATTCGTTTTACTTGTGATACTCTGGTGTATCTTGAGACTAAGTTAAAGCCGCATCCTTTGAAAATGAAGAAACAATTATCCCTTAAGATCATGAAGCCCCTGCTTATGTTAGTCGCGTAAGTCGCCCACTGTTCCTAGGCCCATCTTCATGAAAATATATCGAGAACCAACCGAAATAGCCTTCCTTATCTGTAGCGTAAAGTTATCACTGCAAAATATTGCTCAAGAATAGGCGAGTGGTGTGTTATACAGGAACAAATCTATTTTTGGGGTCAAGATGACTGACTTTTCCACCCATAATTAATTCGGAGATGTTACGTTCGAACAGCAGATCCAAATCAAAGGAGGTGAAGGAATATATTCAAATTTCATATCTCGTTTAGGAGTCTCTGCACGCTCTATCTCTGAAAGACAATTTGCATTGCCAGAAATTTGGGTCAAAATGCCGAACGCGCGTGCGTATTCAGAAGCTAATGGCGGCGAAATCGTGTAAGGAAATGTATGGGATTTCCACAAAAATCCAAAATACAACAAATACGGGTCAGAGTATTCCCTAGCTCCGACTCGAAACGTGTTCAGTAGAGATTAAGCTGTACTTCTAGCAGAAAAATAATTCGAAAGCTGTTTGTCTACTTACCTCCAGCAATGTCAGCAATGTTCGATATTCGAGGCTAGTCATTACCTCTAGTCTGTTTCATATATAGCGTAATCCATGGCAAAGGATCTTCGATTTGAGGAGCGACCCTCCAAGAAGTCAACTAGCTCCCACTCACTTTAAATAACGGGAAGTTCGAAGTAAGCAAATCGTCCATAAAAAGGGACATTTCTTGACAATAAGATACTTTCAAAAGAGCTTGAAAATTGCTATTTTTACTCTGTGGAGTCTGTGATCTGAGACCATCCTTGATAACGCACCAGAAGGGAAAGCGTTAAAAGAAAAACCCTCTGCGAAACCTTCAAACTGTCGCCAAATTTTTTTTTTCTTATTGAGCAATGTTTGACGGGAAATAAACTCAATCCAGACCCCCTTACACTAAAGTGCAGCCTTGAATAAAATTATTTTCTCGCGCGAAAATTAGGAAGCAGATCAAAGAGATCTGTATAGTACGTCCGTTGAACTGTGTTTTCAACTGGGAGAAAAAGCCCTTTTCAAGTAAGCTTTGCCGAGATCTTCCCATTATCTAATGCAAGTGGTTTAAGCTACAATTACCAAAATGTATGACATCCGTAGACGATTACAAATAAAGCCAGTTTGAATAGACATCGAAGCTCAGTACAAATTTTCCATTGCATTACATCAGACAGCAAATTGCTATAAGTCGCTCTGCCTTAAAAATACCAAGTGATATGTTCAAAGTTATTTTTTATTGCTTTTTTCTTCATAAAGAAGGTCCACAGAACTTAAATCGCTGAATATTTAATATGGAACTTGCCCTAACCACTATCTTTGTTTTCATCCGACTGCAATCCGCTGACCAATTAATGCGGGAGCAAAATGTCCTCGATTTCTGGCGATGGTTAAACTCTCTCAAACTTTACATAAATACCTCCCGAACGGACTGACACAGCAAAAGAATAAACATAAAATCCTATCCTTACCCCCAGCCCCCTTCCAGCCTTCTATTTTTTGTTTTTTATATACCTTTGGGCGCCTTATATTTTGCGTCATGAATACCGGTAGGTATTAACTTTCAAGCATCGAATAAACAGATATGGTGAAGTTAAGAAAAAGCCACTGATAAAACAAATTGTGGGAATTAACGGCTAATATGACCCCGATGGTTAAAAAAAGTCAATCGTTTATATCAAATGTGTCAGTAAATCCTTCCTGCTGTTGCGAAATTATAACGGGAAAAATTGTATTTTTGACGAAGAGTCTTATTCCTTACAATGAACAGTGCCAGACTATAATCTTCCATGTATGCGAGTTAAATGAATTTTACTTACCGAAATTCCTCTCAAGTCCAAGTACCTTTTGTTTCTTTAGGAGCACTTAGCCTGGCAAGCCCTTTTAGTTTAAAAATTGTTTTCATTGCCTTCGCATCCCCAAAGGTGAACTTTTTGCATTCGCCAGCAGTCGGGTCAAAATAGTAACGGGGAAGTGCTGCTTTGCATGGGCCCACTTCTACTGGTAGCTTGCACATGACACACTTATCTCAGCAAGCCGCTATATTTTCGTAGTTGTTTTCATTGCCAAAACAACCGCAATAGATGAACGTATCGGACTTTCCAGTATTCACGTCATAATAGTAGCGGATAAAGGATGCAAGACATTGATCGGCTTCAGCTTGGAGCTTGCAGATGTCACACTTTTTATCGAACTTCTTCTGGAAAGATTTCAAAGTTTCAAAGTTGTTTTCATTGCTTGTGCATGCATCCGCCAAAGGTGAACGTTTTGCATTCGCCAGCCGTTGGATCAAAATTTTTTAGCGGGGAACATGCTTCTTTGCATGGGCCAATTTGTGCTGGTAGCTTGCAGTTATCACACTTCTTCTGACAAGCTTTCAAAGTTTTGAAGTTGAGATTGAGGCTTCTAATAAACAATTCCTCGTATAAAGTCTCCTTTCGCTCTTAACATCAACAAAATTCTTCATTTAGGGTACAGAATTATCTATATTCTCCTTCCATAAGGTTGTGCGAGTGGATTCACCTCGATCGGCGCATGGGGTAGTACCGTTCAGAACAAAACATGCTCCTATACAAAAGGCCTCTATTAATTTCTCTTCTAGATATTGTAGGTCTTTCGGTTCATGAAATGCATCAGCCGACCATATCCCTTATTCTTGGCGAGAGACTGGGCAAAAATTGGCCTGACATCGAGTTTTGGCTCCCGGAGAGTTAAAATTGGCTCCACTCTCACCTTTCCAAGAAGCCCTGAGAATCAATGAGCACAGGAAATTTTAGAGCGTTTGTTGGGGTGCATAAAATATAAATTATAAAATTATAAAATCATCTAATCATG